AAAAAAAAAAAAAAAAAAAATCGTCTTTTTACACTATCGAGTCAACCAAAGTCACGTGCTTTACACTATAGCCCTGTGGAAGGATTGCAAACAAGCTAGATATCATATTGTCCTAACAAATTTGATGAGGTAGTACCTCAACCCAAGATACCAGTCGTTCACTATTGTGGCTATGCAAGCTTACTAAGTATGAGAACAAATAAGTCGATTCACCCTAAGATGAGATCTGCTGTTCAAAAGATTCGTAGTGCTAGAACCCGATGAACGGCTTCCAGACCCCGATAGGGTCTATGACATGTATGAGAAACGCTTGAAACTTCGAGGTCTTCCAAGAAACTTAGATAGGTGTAGAATTAGATCCAAATTCCTAGAGCCTAGAGAAAAAACTCATGGTAACTTACTAGAATAAGCATGCAATGAGAGCGTACAAGTAAGTTGTTTATGAGTATTTTTATACTCACCTCTTTCACCATTTTTTAGGTATTCATAGGCTACCCGTCAAGTATGGAAGCATTCGAGAGCTACGTGGTCACAAAAGGAGTCATATCGGAGTGTCAGTCTATCTATATATTTTGAGTCTTTTGTACATTGTTTATAATGTATCCCAAATCCATTACCCATTTGTAATAAACTCGAAACAGTATTGGTTTGTAATTAGATTTCGATTTTTTTTTTAACGGTAGCTTTATTTATTATAATTTGATTTAAATTTTACTATATTTTTATATTTTATTTTATTTACTTTCGTCTTGTCTTTTTAGTCATGGATCGAGATTCAAAGTCTCGAAATGTAACAGGTATCTTAAACAAGGTTCCACTTGGTAATGTATTATAATAATACCATATATCTTGCCACGTTAAAATCTTCATATCCTCGTATTTTTATTAAAAAAAGATGAAGTATGTGTAAAAAGGGATTGAAATATTAATCTTCTCCAATAACGTGAAATATAAGTTCAACCCTATTTAAGATATATGAATTTGAACTTTTAACCTTTTAATTAACGATATAATGTTTTAATTAGTTGTATTATACTCAATTTGGCAGTGATTATCATATTTAACAAAAAGGATGCATATACTAAGAGAATCATAATAATATTTTTATAATGTTGATGGTAATAATCTCCACAATGTCAATGAGTTGATATAATATATTCAATCTTAACGGACTATAAATAACTAACATCAGTTAACTAATTTAAGTAACTAACATAAATTAACTAGTTAAAGTATATATTATCGATCGATAAGATAAGAACGAGAAAATGGAAGAATGAAGTTTTATGTTAATTTTTAAAAACTTAATTATAATTTTATCATTTCCATATTTAATTATATGTTAGATATTAAAAGAAAATATGAGGAAAGAAAAAGCATAAAAATGGATTATTTTAGGTGGCATATTAAATATTTACAAATTGAAGGTGAACACGTAGAATAAAGATATAAAAAATGCTTTATATTTCTAGAATTTCCTTTTGAGTGTATTTTTTGAAGCCTTGAGAGAGATTTTTTTTTAATAGTTTCTTTATTTATTTTTATTATTTAATTTTTTATAGTTGCCCACTTTTATATATATATATATATATATATATAAATATTTATTTTAAGTCAATAATAAGGAAGTACACATTTGAACTCTAGTTGACGATTCATATTTTATTTTAGTTGTTATGTTCAGACTTTAATATTATATTTAAAGGTTTCATATGATCAATTAATGAAACAATGAAAATGATATTAATATTAAATTTCATGTATTAAAATAATACATTTATCGATTATATTATCAAATATTAATGAAAGGAGTACATAGATATTTTTGGGCATAATTTGAATTATGTGTTAGGTTTTCAAATTAATTCAATCAAATAAAATTAATGCACATATATTTGATCATTTTTTTAAAAAAAAATTGTGTTTGAATTTTATGATCCAAAATAAAAATATTGAAAATATCATTTTAAAATTTTCAAGTACTCATATTTTAATTTGAAAATTTATAAAGCAAAATTACATTAAAGAAAAGATTAAAATTATTTAAAAAGTGTGACATTACCTTCTATTAAATTAAAATATGGGTATGATATTGTAAAACTAATTATATAACATTTATAATCTTCAAAAAAAATTCAAAAATTAATTAATGGCGTATAACAATTCAAGCCTACAACTAACAAATATTGTTCTTTCTAAATTTTCTCTTTCAATTTCTCTGGTTTTTTTTAAAAGAAATTTCCACAACTTTATAAACAATGTTTTGTTCCACTTTCTAATCGATGTGTACCTCCAATTTTCCCCTTCTTGTTCTCCTCTCCAACCAATATAAGATCTCACATGTCGGGTCGGATGAGATTCAACCTAATATTTATTTGGAACTAAAATATATAGAAAAATAAATGAAGCCATCCAAATATGGATGCATAAAAAGCACTTAATAAATATTGCACACAAGAACTGCACTATCTTCTTTCTTGGAGATATATATATACATATATATGTATATATGTATATGTAACTTCAAAATGTATTTCTGAATAACCAGTAAAGGGATGAAGGCATAAGAGCTTATTGATATTTATTTCTGAATTCCTAGTTGACAACAAAAACCAACCAACTCAATCTCCATTACCAGATTTACTAACCAGAGGATATAGAAAGGAAAGGAGCTAGAGTCTGGAAGGCATCCCCCCGGCCACCACCAGAGTTTCACCTGTAATGTACGAAGCATCATCTGATGCCAGGAAGGCGGTGGCAGCAGCCATGTCCTCCGTCGTACCAAGCCGGTTGAGTAATGTCTTTGACTCAACCTCCTTCTTCTGCATTTGGTTCAAATCAAATACAATTGTAGTAAGTAACAAATTTTGAGAGCTGCAAAATATAAATAAGCCAATCCATTGAAACAGTTACTCACAATGGCCTCATTAGACACAAGGAAATCAGCAAAGTGTGTTGGCACGAAACCGGGTGCGACACAGTTTACACGAGTGTCGGGGGCCATCTCTGCTGCAAGAGCCTGAAGGAAATCTCAATCAAGAAGAATACAAGCATAAAAATAAATAAATTATTCAAACAATAAGCCATTGTTTAACCTTTGTCAGTCCAAGAAGAGCTGTTTTTGTCACCCCATACATGGCCAATAAGGCAGAAGGCTGGAACCCTTCAATGGAGGAAATTAGAACAACTGAAGAGCCTTTCTGCAAATGAGGAGCTACATCCTGTAGCAGAAATGTATCAAATTATTGAGATATGCACAAGTAGTGTGGGATCCAACGTCGGCCGGGGAGGAGAACGAAATATTTTTTATAAGGGTGTTGAAACCTCTCCCTAGCAAATGCATTTAAAAACCTTAAGGAGAAGCCCGGAAGGGAAAGCCGAAAGAGGACAATATCTACCAATGGTGGGCTTGGGTTTTTACTGGTAGTGTTCAAATTAAAGGGAGAAGTTAATAAAGTAGTGGTTCAAAAGACAATCAAAATCGAATACCATCTCAAATCAAAATATTCTTTAATTCCAAAAAGCCCTGAATCATGACAGTATTTGGAAAAACTGTGCCTCAGAATAGTACCTGCAAAAGGAGGACCGAAGCTTTAACATTTATGTCCCACAGCTTGTCAAGAATAGCTTCTTGAGTTCGCAAAATTGAATCGACTGATGGATTGACAGCTGCATTCGATACAACTACGTCTATTTTTCCATATTTCTGTAAGCAAACCAACGAAATTTAATTAACCTCAAACTAATTACTGAAATATGCAATGGAAAAAGATAAAATAGAAAGAATATGTACAAGTAACGACTTAAGCCCACCGCTAGCAGATATTGTCTTCGTTGTGTTTTTCTCCCCTCAAGGTTTTTAAAATGCGTTTGGGAGAGGTTTCCACATCCTTATAAAGAATGTTTCGTTCTCCTCCCCAACCAATTTGGGATCTCACAATTCAACCTCCTTCAGGGCCCAACGTCCTCACTGGCACTCGTTCCCTTCTCCAATTGATGTGGGACCTCCCAATCCACCCCCCTTGGGGGCCCAGCGTCCTTGCTGGCACACTGCCTCGTGTCCACCCCCTTTGCGGCTCAGCCTCCTCGCTGGCACATCACCCGGTGTCTGGCTCTAGTACCATTTTGTACGACCCGAGCCCACTGCTAGCAGATATTGTCCTCTTTGGATTTTTCTCCCCTAAAGGTTTTTAAAATGTGTCGACTAGAGAGAGGTTTCCACACCCTCATAAAGAATGTTTCGTTCTCCTCCCCAACCGATTTGGGATCTCACAATTCAACCTCCTTCGGGGCCCAAAGTCCTCACTGGCACTCGTTCCCTTCTCCAATCGATGTGGACCCCCCCAATCCACCCCCTTGGGGCCCAGCGTCCTTGCTGGCACACCGCCTCGTGTCCACCCCCTTTGCAGCTCAGCCTCCTCGTTGGCACATCACCCAGTGTCTGGCTCTAGTACCATTTTGTACGACCTGAGCCCACTGCTAGCTGATATTATCCTCTTTGGATTTTTCTCCCCTAAAGGTTTTTAAAACGTGTCTACTAGAGAGAGGTTTCCACACCCTTATAAAGAATGCTTCGTTCTCCTCCCCAACCGAGGTGGGATCTCACATGGGTAATTGTTGTAAATGCAATCTTATCAGCATGCACTATAACATATATGATACACCATCTATATCAGCACATTAGATGAAAGCAGCGAGTTGGATATACCGTAACAGAAGTATATCATTGGGCTCTGAGCATGATGTGAGTTCTTCCTTAATTATCCACAAAAATATAATAAAAGATCAAGAAAACCTGGCTACGTTTTTCAGTTGATGAGTATGGAATTTGTTTATCCTCAGAGGCAAAAACATACGCACGTTAAGCTTGAATCTTTCAATAATATAATGATTTTGAACATAATGTAAAATAATCATCTATTATAACCACTTTCAGTTTTCACTAGATTCAGGAGAATTTAGAAAGCAAGCATTGAATTAATCTTACCTGGATAGTCTTTTCCACCAGATTCTTCCTTTGCTGTGCATTTGATACATGACAAACAATCCCCAACACTTCAAGTCCTTCAGCTTTGAGTTTTTCAACTGCCTCATCGACGTTTCTCTAGAAGACCGTTTGATTTAAGAAGAGTTTATGAAATGCAAATAAAACGTGAAAAGTAAAGTCATTCTAGTTAGTAGAGGTAACAGAGTCACACAGGTAATAAATTCCATTTAGGCTCCTCTACGCATTGTTTGTTGTTTGAACCTTAAGATTGATCGTCAACTTTTTATTTATGTGATTCAGTCAAGGAGGAAATCTATGAGAGAAGAAACTTCAAGGGCGTATTTGGGATTTGCTTTCATGTTTTTTCTTCATCCTTCTTGGAAAACAAACTGCATTTAAGAACTGTGATCAATTGGCTCATAAAAGGTCGAAGGTCTAGTGCAATTAAAATTACTATCCATTCATAAGCCAAAAATAAATATTTCAAAAAGACTCCAGAAAGATACCACTTATAAGAACGAAGTATAGGGAAACCAGAAAAGTATTAGGCAAATATGTTACTTTTAAACTTTTGTTTTTAAAGTAGAAGACTACAGTTGAAAATATATATTCAGCTCTAATTCCTTCATTTCTTTTTCTTTCATTACTTTTTTCATTTTTATTATTTATAGTTCAGAAAGGGTGCACTAAAGGCCAACTGGTATATGACTAAGAAAAACGTTTCCACAATATTTATGATACTTTTGTTTGATAACATTCATGATTTAGGCTTGGCATTAGTTAAGACTATAAAAGTCTATCTCTGCTTTCCAAGTATTCCAATAAAAAAGATCAACTTTACCCTAGAACATATATGTTAACCAAGTTCATAGAAGTGGTAGGTATGTTAGATCATTGTTGAAGTCAATACTTTTGTTTACTTTATCCTCGTTAGTCTGATTAAAGTATATACAATAGTATTGAATCATCTCAAATTTGGCAGCTAAAAAAACCTTTATGTCCTATTTTGATTCTTTAGACTTGATTTGATAACCACTTTGTTTTGTTTTTTTGTACTCTGTGCGTGAAAATTATTCTTGTTTTCTTCTTTTTCAGCTCCCTTAAAATCACATTTGAATTGTAAGCCAAATTTCAAAATCAAAACCAATTTTTAAAAATTATTACTCAAAAACAGAAAATAAAAAGTAAAATAGTTATTAACACTTATTCCTACAATTATGAGCAAACCAAGAATAATTGGTCTCTATACTTATAATTTTGAACTAAAATAAAGTCTTTTATAATTATGAGCCCCTAGACGGTGCCCCCCTACTGAATGCTGCCTAAAGAGTCCAGATTAATTGTTTGACAAAAAAGGATAAGATCTGAGCTAAAAGGAAAAGATCTGAGCTAAAAATCAAGATTACAATGAAACAAGTCATCATCAAAAAAAAAAAAAAAAAAAAAAAAAAAAAAAAAAAAAAAAAAAAAAAAAAAAAA